TGGCCATTCGAATATTGAACAATTAAAACATAATAATAATAATAATAATAATAATAATAATAATAATAATAATAATAATAATAATAATAATAATAACAATAACGTAGAGCTTGATGATATTTCTAGCGTCTCTTGTAAAAAGTACATTTAAAAATTCATGGATAACAAGAATATTCGTATTCAAATTTGGTCATTTGTTGTTTCAAGAATAAGGTCCAAAATGTAAAATAATAGTTCCTTGTAAAATGTTTTCTCTATTTAACACAAATACAGTAGGCCAGTAGTGAAAGAGGACTTCACTTACATAAGATTTCACTTGGTTTTAAAGCCTTTTTTTCAGGTTATTTTCACAATTTATGATGGCTTACTAGTCAAAATAGGACAAATGAGCTCATGTAAGGGAAATTTCTGGACCTTTGTCAGTCAGAGGTGGGTCTTTCAAACCACCCAAACCTTCTCTTGCTATGGGCCTGAAATGTAACATTATTTCACACGTCTTTATTGTCAATTTTCACAATTTTATCAATTGCTTGCTTGATAAAAGTATTGATGTCACTATTGATGTCACTCTTTTTTATTTTTAATACCTCAGAGTTGGTAGTTGGTAAAATGGTAGTGTATATTTTACTTGGCGTCACGGTGGTGCTGTGGGTATAGCACAATTGCCTTACAGCAAGATGGTTGCTGGTTCGAGCCCCGGCTGGGTCAGCTGGCATTTCTGTGTGGAGGTTGCATGTTCTCCCCGTGTTGGCGTGGGTTTCCTCCAAGTGCTCTGGTTTCCCCCACAGTCCAAAGACATGCTGTATAGGTGCATTGAATAAACTAAATTGCTAAATTGGCCGTAGTGTATGTATTTAATAAGTTGTATATAGTTTAATATATTTAGTTATTTACCTGCTGTATTATAGTATATTTTAAATCTGTTCCTGTTTCACAATATTTCTGCTTAACTGTATTTTCATTAAATGCATTTGTGCCTTAAGCACAATGTGCTTAATGACGAATAATGAGCATAATGAACAATGATTGCAGCATTTTTCTAATTATTCCAAACTTTCACATACATTGTTCTTAATTAAAATTATCAACTTATTTTTTTCACCGCATATTGCATTAGACCTCTAGTTTCATTTATGTTATTATGACTTTTTATAATTAATCATTAAAAGCAGTGTTAAAAGGGCACCTATTTACCCCCTTTTCAAGATTTAAGATAAGTCTTGTGTCTGTAAAGTTTCAGCTTAAAATACTCATCAGATTATTTATTATACCTTTCAGAATATTGGATTTTTCGTATATGAACACAATGTAGCTGTTTGTCTATGCCTTTAATGCAAATGAGCTAGTTCTCCCCACCCATCATTCCCACATGCCTGTCAAGAGTGTTTCCATTTTCTGATGTGTCAGATAAACAGCACAGGGACAGACATGACGAAAGCAGATCTCACGTAATGTTTGTGAGATATACTAAGAACTCTCCTGATGATTATTCAATGTAGTTGTTGTGGAGTTTATTCAAGCCTTTCTGCAATGATGAGTCACACATAATGCCATGTACACACACGCAGTGGACACACACACACAGCACGTGAGTTTAATTTTGCACGGCAAATGTGACAGAAAATATGTTAATATCCACTGCTGTATGGATATCCGTTATGTTAATGTACAAAATAAACCTGATTTAACATCCATAAACAGGGATTGAAGCGTCTTCTTTTATAATTGTACTGACATGCGGCTTTGGTGATGAAGTAAATATGATAAAATGCTGTAATTTATTACAAATATGCACTGTTTTAAAAACGTTTTCAATTTGTAAAACTCATTCCTGATCACATTTGATGATGACTGATGATCACAGCGAGCTGAGCAGATCTTTTAAACCCATTGCTTTACGCACGTCCTGTCTTGTTGATATGATTATACGCATTACTATGGAGACATGTTAATACATGGCTGTCAATCAATTCGGTGGGTGGGAAACCACACTCCCACATCATGTTGGGGTCGGTCTCAAAAGGGGAGGGTTTTGGATCCTAATTTAATGTCAGGAAATTAAAAAAAGAGACTTACTGTGTTTATCCCAGTATGACTGTGGACACATTATACCTACACACAGTTCTGTCCAAACAGCTTACAAAAGATGATTTTCATAGGTGCCCTTTAAAGTAAAGTGTAGAGTGTGAATTGCTCCATCCGTACCTTCAGTAGCAGAAACGACACATTCCGAAACTAGGGGTCACTGTTGTGCTTCAATGGCACTTTTAATAAAACAGACATTTTATCTTCACAACAGCAATGTCTGGACATAAAGAGGAAGAGAAAATTGGGTCAGGGCTCTCTGTGCTGGCAGGCTGGTTGTTCTTGTTTGAGAATGGAGTATAGTTTTAAAAGCACACCTGGAAGGACTATCAGACACAGTGTAGGGAAGACAAGGCAAGTGCTAGTGATTCTCTCACAAATGAAAGATGACGTTCAAAACAACAAAAAGAGCCCTGACCGCTCATTTCAACCTTCCCGCACTCTCCTTTATTTACAGATAAAATTAATACATTCAATTATTTCACGTAGTAACAAAGCTAGTCGATCTCTTTATCATCCATCCAAAAAGTTCACATATCTCATCTGCATTCAATATTCTTTCCTCTTTATGTTTTTTCTCTGTCTTTTTATACTCGTCTTCTCTAAGAACCTCCGCCCCTGTGTTTGCTTAAAAGATTAGTTCAATTCACATTAGAAATCCTGTCACCATTTGTTCACCTTCATGTTCATCTTTAAACACAAATGAAGATACTTTTTTAGGAAAGTCTGTTCGCCCAAACATTTGCAAAGAGATCCAAGAATAAATCCATATGAATCAAGTGGCTTAATTCAAGAGACACGATTGCTTAATATGATGAACAGATTAAACTCGAGCTGGGATTCACAAATAAACATTGATCAATGAACATAAACAGAAGCTCAACCAAGGAACATTTGAAGGAAAGTCTGTTCACTTGGCAGCCATATTTGCAATACTTCTGTGCAGCTGTTTTATACCAAGTCCTATCTTGAATGGGAAAATCTTAAAACACTCTTTGATAAACTGCCATATATTTGAATCTGTGCACACTAAGGGCTAGTATTCTCCACAATACAGTGTGTTAGATGAAGATTCTATTGCAATAACAAACATGAATAAAAAATAAATAAATAAATAAATATAAAAAGACAGACATGGTGAATAAACGAGACCGTTTGTTAAGTACAGAGAAAAGGATTATAATTAATAATTAATTTCTATTCTGATGAAAAATATTGAGTTAATGTCATTGTCAACAACGCTGTGAACTTTTAAAAATAGGTTTGTTTGGAACACACCATAAAAGAGAGAGAGAGTTTTGCCCAAACATGAAAATGTCTCACCCTCAAAAAGGTTCCAAACCATTAAGAATTTCTGAAAGCCATTGGCAGCCAAAGTAAACAAATACAATGGAAGTCAATAGCTCTCAGTTTCCAGTATTCTTAAAAATATCTTCTTTTGGTGTTCAAAATCAGGTTTGGAACGAGAGGAGGATCAGTACAATAAATGATGACAGAATTTTAATTTTGGGGCGAACTAAGCAGATTTATCCACATGAAAGACCTTCAAACGTCAGAATAACATTGCACTGCATCTCCAATATGGCAGGAAAATTAAATAAACTAAAATGTGGAAGACGTTAAATGTGACAAGATGATTGTCAGTTTAAAAAGTGACTAAGAAAGAAAGATGAAACAACAAATGCCTGCCTACTTAAAATATGTAATTGATAATTTAAAGTTGGTGAAAAACACAATTGGAAGCTAAATACTTTACTTAATTTTACTTACTTATTTTACTTAAAGAGCAGAACTTATTCTACCATACTCTTCTTTTCAAAGTGGACCATCTGTAGCTGTGTTTTAAAATAATGCACTTTACAATATGAGCTTATACACTCAACCATCCAGCGTATGAATTTTATAAGGTTATTTTGTCATTTAAACCTCCATTATGTAACTAAATCTTTGACAATCGAGTGCATGAAGTGCTCAACATTTCACACTAAATACGTTTTATTTTTGGAATTTTCAATGTAAATAGAATAGTACATAATTATGCGAACTAGCACACAACTACTGTATTATTGTAATCTTTGTCTTAACTATATTTGCTTGATGTGTGTGAACAAACCTCATTGGTTCTTAGAAGTTCAAGCATGCCATGTGACACATGAGAATCATTGGTTCTCACATGTCAAGCAGGCATGTTTATGGTTCTATGATTAAAGGCCCTATCATACACCCGGTACAATAAGGCGTAAGACGTGTTTGGCACAATTTGCTGCTATTTTCAGATCGCCGCAACCCTAATTTTCACGTTTTGCACCACATTGTTTAAATATCACATCCATTTGCACCACTTTGTGGACTCATGAGCATGCTGATCTAAAATAGAGGTGTGTTAAGGCGCATTGTTGGCGTGTTGCTATTTTGAAGAACTGAAATAGACTGCCCCATTGACCATCTAAAAGCAGGTCTAAAGTCCAGGGCAGAGCACTTTGGTTATGCGCCTATGTGGGTTCAAATCTTTACACACTGCTTAATACACACAGGATGTACAGCAACAAACAAATATCTTTACATATGAAAAAAAATTAAAGAATTCAAATGTTACAAAAATTATTTTCTACATAATTATAAAAAACACTGCCTTCATGCCACATTTCGAGGGGCTTTTTACGTTTATTCATGACAATTTGCATTTGTATAATGTTATTATTATAAGTAGTATTATTTATTATTTGAAAAAAAGTTTGTCCGTTTGTCAACTTTTGGACATGCATGCATCACCATATGGGGCATAAGAATAGGACAAGTGTTTAGATTAAACTTTTTTGACCACACGTCATTATTATTGTTCATTTATTCGTTTGCTGGAAATTAGAGCTGAATTTAGAAACAGTTTTGACACAATTCTTTGCGCTTAACAAACAAAATTAAATATGTAGGTTAATGGATGTCTTCAGTGGAGTGAGTTTACACCGATTCCTTATCCACGAAAGTAAAGGAGTAGAGTAAAAGTAAAGAGAAAGCGAAAGTATAGAGGCTGAATGCAGGAGGCTGATTCTTTATCCTTACGCAGATGGTCTATTAAACTCACAGCATAGTTTTCTCACTAGTGTTTTTCTACTTACAAACTCCAGTTATAGATAGCAAATGCGCCATGGTGTGAAGCAACTGACTCTTAAAGGGAATGAGAGATGAGACTCTGATTGGTTTAATGTAGATTATACTCAAAAGACCCCAATAACTCATTAAGAGAATAAACACAACCCTGTTAGACCATGCGCCGGGTTTAAAGTGTATTTTGTTCCTCCTCAAAATAGCAAAAGTGGATTCAGACACAGCCTTAATGCTTTTGCGCCATGAGCTTTAGACTTTGCACCCAGATCGTTAAAATAGAGCCCTAAATCTGAATGCTGTAAATGTTGTCCACGTATTAGAAGACTTGGATTCAATGCTAAATTCATATGGATTTCTTTTGATTCTTCACAGTTGTTTTGCATGAACAGTGCAGAAGTCTCTCTTTCTTATGTCGTGTGTTTGGAATGACATCAGAGTGAGTAAACTGACCGAATTTTCATTTTTGAGTTGAACTAACCTTTTAAATCCCGTAAACAATATGTATAACTATTTACATGAGCATTAATCTCTAACTATACCATCACAAAACCATGACCACCCACCTCCCACCCCACCCGCTAATCACCCCCCTCCCAAAAAGTCCTGATGGAAAAGCTAAAAAAGGTGGGTGGGGGGGAAACAAGGGAAAAAAACATGGATTGGCTCAAAATGTCTCACAAAATCATTTCTTGCATCCTCCCCCATTCTAAAAGTGCATGCCTAGATTCAGCAATTGAAAATAAAATGCCTGTACAGAGAAAAACCTTTCTAAATCGCCCGCCAAACATGGCGAACATTGACACGGATCAGCATAATGGCAACAAGAATCTTCTTTCTTCTTTTGGCAAATACTCAAGTGGTTTTCGAAGGTCTAAAAGATGTAGTGGAACAATTAAAGTGGGTCTCTGAGGCAGCAGCTGGTAATGGGAGCAGTTTTGTGGAAACTGCCGGTAAAGTCAGAGGTGACGGGGACTTGGGTGACCATTGTGATAAAGCTTCTGCTTGATGTGCACCATGTTTCCGCTGGAGTCCTCCAGTTGCCGAAGCTGTGCACGTCTACGCAGGTCCCGAAGGTTGCAAAACTGTGGCAACCACGACCAGGAAGGGGTGTCTGTGAGAGAAAAACCCATTAGCAGTGGTCGAACGACGGAGATCCATACATTTCTTAATGACTACGCTAATGAGATGGTTAAGAAAATGTATATCTTACAATGAAGCAGCATGTCTGCTCAATGTGTTAATGGAAACAGCATGTGGGTGCAGACGTGGAGGTATAGCGAAACCACAGAGAGTCCCTCAGACAACTAGCCCTGCTGGAAGTGTGTCAGTGTGTGTGTGTTAAAGGGAGCGGGGGTTATTTATAGCCTTTCATGGGTCTGCCATCCACTAGGACTGTGGTGAAGGGTACACAGAGGAAGACGGTGAATAAGGGTTTTTAAAGCCATATATATGGGCCAAAGGAATAGAAGGAAGAGTACAAAAAAGAGCTGAATATTAAGGTTATTTTTATATATATATATATATATATATATATATATATATATATATATATATATATATATATATATATATATATATATATATATATATATAGATGTTGTGCTGTATATGCTGTGTATAAAGGTACTTCTGTATGTACCTAATTTTACTTTATTTTTAACTATTCTTACATCATTTTCAGGTTTTTATTGACTGTAAGCGTAATAATAAATAAAACATCTCTAGACAAATTATTATAATAGATATATAGATTATAAAATGTAAAAATATTATATTTAATACAAAATATAATCATATTTTTACTCCAACAAATTAAATAAATGATCAAATGTCACAGCTGAACACATTAATAAACACTGTACAAAAATGTCATGCTAAAATAAGGAACGAGAGCTAAAATTCATGATTGTCTCAATTCACAGTGCGTGTATTGTATGTGTGTGCATGTATGAGTATGACTGCATGCTTACGTCTGGCCAACTTGCCTTCTCTATCCAGCTGCTCTTTGTCTATTTATAGCACTTGCACAGTACAAGGGTGCAAGTCTGTGTGTGTGCGGGTGGGGGCGGGGCATGACAGCATCTCCCTTCCTCCTTCCTTTCCATCAGCCTCACCTTCACTCCCTGTCTTTGTGAGGCTAAATGAGGCTGACCTGCCATCAACGTCACAATTTCACAGCTGTGGTGTGGTTTACAAGAGGGGCATCCCCAGTATTTTTTCAGCAAGTCATATCATATGGAGAAACCATTTTGTGCTGGAACTAGATTCATATAAGGATGTTGTTTTCCTTAATGATATAATCACAGTTAGAATATATATATATTCCCCTTTGGATGCTGAAGGATAGTTCAACCAAAAGATAAAAAATTTCTCTTTATTTTTTCTCTCACTCTTACGTAGTTCCAAAAATGTTGCTTAATCTTAATTTTGAATTAAAAAAAAAAAATTCATTCATTTTCTTGTCAGCTTAGACCCTTTATTAATCCGGCGTCACCACAGTGGAATGAACCGCCAACTTATCCAGCAAGTTTTTACGCAGCGGATGCCCTTCCAGCCGCAACCCATCACTGGGAAATTGGTTTATATATATATATATATATATATATATATATATATATATATATATATATATATATATATATATATATATATATATTCACATATAATATGTAATTTACTGGTTCTTGTACATCGAGCTTATGTTATGTGCGGAATGTATGGTCGTGTTTAGTCATATTTGAAGTTATACTAAGAGGTGCAAAAGAGCACATATTTTCAGTCACTTTTTTAGATACATGAAGCACAGTATTTTCCAGATGTCGGCAAAAGGGACGATTCTTTCAGCAATTACAAAAAAGCTGGCCTTTATTATTGATTTCTAGAATATTGCATCTTTACAATGTTGCTATATCATTCAAGTGAACCCCAAAAAGCTGGTCGTCCACAAAAGATGGAAAGAATCTGTGGAGAATCAATGGGCTATCGGTTCAACGATGAAGCTGGAATTGTTCACCAATTCAGCAATGAACATGATAAGGCTCTGTATCCCAGCATGCATTTAAAAGGATTTGGTTTGTAAGCACAGTGTTTGCAGGGATCAAACCTCTCATTAACAGAAAAAAACTAAAGACTAGACTAAACTTTGTTGAGCATGTTGTGTGGATAGAGAACTGCTAAATCATTTTAATTTAAAAGTTTTAATTTTCTTGGGTTCAATGGGAAACTGTGGAAAACTGAATCCATGTGTATGTAGAGAAGTGTTTGCAGAAACATTTCTGCAGCAAGGGTTTGGCCTCTTAATCACTCAAAAGCCAGGGATTTTATGCAGGTTAATGAGATTCTGACATTAAGCAAACTGGGGAAATCAGTTCCTTGAAATTGAAAACATTGTGACCATAATGAAATGGCCACCCCAGAGCCCTCATCTAAACTTGATTGAAAACTCTGGAAAATTCTTGGTGACCAAATAATGTCTAAAAAACACTAAAGTCAGTGAAATGTAGAAGAGGCTGTAAGAAGAAGGGATTAAGATCAACCAGAACAGTGGAAGAGACAAATGATGTAGTGTATTTTTTCTTTGTGTTCAAAGTGTTTTGGTTATTTTGGAAAACCCTATTCTACACTCATGGCAAAGCCTCAACAAAAATTCCTTCAAAGTTTGAACAATGAATCATATATTAATTCTGAAAAAAGTTTTATAAATCCATATTTACTGTATTAACCTTTATTATCCATATAAAAGTTATAAAAACCCCTTGATTCTTATGGATTAATTTTACTACAATTACACAGACATTTTTGGATCTTCTAATTATTGATTAACAGATTCTTTGTTGGAGGGCCAGAAAAAAAAATTGTTATTTAAAAACTAAATTTATGTTTTGAAGATTACCCAAAGTCTTAAAGGGTTTGAAATGACATGAAGTTGAGTGAATGATGACAGAGTTTGGCAAAATATACCTTTAAATTGTATATTAATACATAGTATTCTAGAAGCAACACCGTCTTTTCTCTTGGTTTTCGATTGTTGTAACCTTTTTAGTTTCAATATTATTGTATTATAAATGCAACTTATTGTTTCTGCACACTGTAACAGAGCTTTTCTTTTCTTAGTGCAAGCTTCAAGATAGGACAGTCAAGATATAACAATAATTGTAAAATCAAATATCCTACGGATTCACGTGTTTATGTGGTAAGAAGCAGGATAGTCATTGACTATCACAGAATAAGCTCTAACAAGCTAATCAGCAGCTGATGAGGAGAGCTTAATTACTAAATTACATGTTGGTGGCACTTTATAATCTATTTTGTTTAATGTATTTTTGTTCTTCCAAGTTTCATTTTTTTTTCTTTTTTAAAAATATTTTAGTCTCCTTGACCAGTCCATTTGATGAACACAATAATCACAAGCATCCCCTTTTAAAGTGCTATTTACATATTCCGCCACAGCTCATGTACCTCTTTGCCCTTAAAAGACCCCAAACTGTTATGAACAACTGCTGCATTGCCTGTGATTCCGTTACATTGACTGAAAACCTGCTGTTAATTCCTGCAGCCACAGTCTCCATCTTAATGCATTCATTACCAGGGTGATAATAACAGGGCAGAAGGGGAGCGCCGACAGCTGATGAAAATGAAAAATGTTTGTGTGTAAATGTTTGGGGAAAGAAAATTGAATTTTGGAAAAAAAGTTTGGGAAAAAATATGTTTATTAACATAAAAGCCAATACAGTGGGACACATTTTTAAAGAGGTTTTTAGAAACGTATAAGAATTTAATCCTATACAAATGCAGGTAAATGATCACTTTACGACACCAACTGTTTACTTAATGAAATGATCTGCTCTAGCATGGCATACTTTTAAACACCACTTTCATGATTACTAAAATATTCAAATTTAGTTTTAGTTTTTAATATTTAGTTTTAATATTGAGACAAAGCTAACTAACATATTTTAAACTAGGTTCAAAATGTCACTAAGGCACTTGCTCATCACAGTAAAATATTTAACGTAAATTCTTTTAAGATACAGTAACCAGTTTTAGTACCCATTTAAATCTTGCACATAAAACATGCCTTTTTTTAGCAATAACACTTAATCATGTTCAATATCAAAATTGTCACGTAAAAAAAAAAAAAATTATATATATATATATATATATATATATATATGTGTGTGTGTGTGTGTGTGTGTGTGTGTGTGTGTGTGTGTGTGTGTGTGTGTGTGTGTGACCCTGGAGGACCACAAAACCTATCATTGCCTTATATAACCTTAAACTTACTGCAACATTTTGTATTGCATGGGTATATTTTTGACAATAGTCAAAAACACACTGAATGGGTCAACATTATACATTTTTATGCTAAAAATCATTTAAATATTAAGTAAAAATCAAGTTCCACAAAGGTATTTTGTAACCTACAGCAAATGTATCAAACCCTAATTTCTGATAATGCGCATTACTAAGCACTTCATATAGAAAACTTTAAAGGTGATTTCCATTTCCATTTCATTTACAATTTAAACCCTTCAGATTCAAGATTTATTCAAGAGTATATACAGGAATCAGAGAGTGAAATTCAATAGCATTTAAGACCTCTTTTAAAACTCTTTTCATACATTTTAAGACCTTATAACCACTTTTCAACCAGAAACACTTGCAAGATTTTAACTTACAGTATATTTACTAAATAAATATAATAATGTAAACTAATCCAAAACTAAAAAAAAAATATTTATATACTGAATACAAATCTATTAAATCTATTTAATTCAGCAGGTTAGCACCTACAAAAATGCAGAAAAATTGGTGTTGCCTTGATTACTGCAGTAAACAAAACAGCATGATGCCAAATCTAGTATTGAATTCATAAACTACACAGCATCCTGATATTTGCAGGTTTAATTCAGGCAAACTTAAGTATACAAGCATACATTGCATAATCAAAAATGATATAAAATTTAATACCTTGCAAAATAGCATTTAAGACTTTTAAAATATTTTTTAGGGCCTTAAATTTCTCTAAATTGATTTGTCATCTTATAATACTTTTTAAAACCCCGCGGACACCCTGTTACAAAGTATGAATCAATAGAAAACTTTCAGGTGATGTATAAAACTTCAAAAAAAAAAAAAAAAAAAGAAACTTAAGACTGGTTTTGTGGTCCCGGGTCAGATATATAATGGCAACAAATAAACAAAAAGCACTTCTGTCCATAACATAAACTCACATGAAGGAAGAAAGCTTGATTCATGCATAAAAATCAATCCGTAAACACTAATAATTGTCAGTAGCCGCATAGCAGTTCCTACAAGCAAATGCGCTGTCCTCTATCCACATATATGCTCTCCATATACTCTTGGTTACAATGTTCTTCCCACTCACCATAATAGCGACTGGCTCTCCAGGCCCTCACAGCACAGTGCAAAGCTCCATCCAGCCACAACAACAGCCAGCTGATACAGAAGCCCAGCAACAGCCCCAGCATGAGGTCCATCTCCTGTTTGGTCACACTGTCACTCACAAAGTAATTCTCGGATGAGTCCACGAGCGAATGGTCTCCATCGTATGGAATTACGTAGTGAACATGATGCCTGAGGCAAAAAGAGGAAAACAGTTTAGAGGTTTGCAATTAGCTGAGACATGAACATTTCACATGGAAGTGTAGGAAAGTTTACAATAAATGTGGAGAGAGAGACAATGAGGATCTATTATGTCAATTACACCAACATTTGCTTTAATAACACTCTCAGCAGGACATTTCTATACTGATACTTGGTTCCAACTGAGCTAAGTCAAGCTGGGGTTGTTGTCTTGGAGCATGTAAATGCAGTGAACATATGGTTTGGAACAAGGCTGTTGCAGATTATGCCCTATTAACTTTTTTTTTGCACTGTGGATGTTTAATGGGCAAATACTTAATATTGAACTGAATTATGTACAGATGCACACCTTTCTTTGGTTTTTATGTTAAAAAATATGATGTATATAATTGTTAATTGATTGTTTACTAACTCACCTAACACAATCTCAATCCTCAGATTTGAAGGTTTGAAGGTTAGGACTGCACAATATATCGTTTTAGCATTGATGTCGCAACGTGTGCATCTGAAATAATCACATTGCAGGATCGGCAATGTTAAATTGGGATAATATTTGACCAGGGAATGCAGTTCAGAACATGAAGTCATAGGAGCTTTTACTATAATAGAGCAAAAATGTATTATTTGCATATGTTTTAATGGCCTGTGACTGTATGAGCATATCAAGAAAGTTTAAAGCATTCAGGCACAATGAATTGTACCATTTAAATCGTTAATAAAAAATATTTAATTGAATTATTTATACAACGAAGACATATGCAGTGCAAGTTTACCTTTGAATATTCGATTTCTGTACCTGAATTCTTACCAAACAGAGCTAATTAAGTCAACTGGTGAAATTGTATTCATACGGCAATACATATTGCAGAAAAGCAAAACATCGCAATGTCAGATTTTTCCAATATCGTGCAGCCCTAATACAGATACATAATCCAAATACACCTATTTGAAAATCTGGATTCGGAGTTTACAAAGAAAAATCTAGATACTGACAAAATCACCATTAAAGTTTTCTAAATTAAGTGTTTACTAATAACTAGGCCCACATGGAATCTGGGCCATTGATGTTGTTTATGTGTGTACATTTATATTTATTCAGTTTTAAAATTAATTTCAGTAATAATATTGACTAATATGAAAGTGTTCAGGGGGTTCATTCCACTGTGGTGACCCCTGATTAATAAAGGGACTAAACCGGAAAAAAAAATGAATGAATGAACGAATGAACGAATGAAAGTGTTCATTTGATTTATTTATAACAGTTTTTTAGAAGTTATATTATATGAGTGACTTTCTTTGTTTACCAATTAAGTGGATCTAGATGGATTTTCATTGAAAACATTGAATAAAAGTTAAAAAGCTATTACTTTTTAAATACATATAGTTTATAGTTATGATACTCCCAAAATAATTTTGCTCGAATCTACAAAATTCTCTGCAGAAATAGCAAAATATGTCTGTAGATTCTGTCTGGCCCTACTAATTACTAATCAAAAATTAAGTTTTGATATATTTACAGTAGGAAATGTACAAATTTTTTATGTAATATTCTAATGATTTTTTGCCAAAAAATAAATAAATAAATCTACCATCTTGACCTGTTTTAGAGTATGTTTTAGCTATTGTCAAAAATACACCTGTCTTGTGGTCCAGGGTCACGTTATAAACGTAATGAACAACTGCTACTTTTCTTTTTTTTTTAAAGCAGGAAGTAAAGGCCAATTTACACCAAGAATGATGACTATGTATAAAAAAAATGTAACTTTATTAGTGTGCACACCAGTGGATGATATAGTTCTGGAGTGCTGAAGTTTTGTCTTCTGGCACTTTAATTGCTCAAGCTAGTCGAAGCAGGATGGATTCTGATTGGCTGGTAATGTTTTGTCATTTATTAGCTCAGAAAAAAAAATCTAAAAGTGAATTAACAATAACATTGTTGTCCCTCTGTGTTGCTTATCATTATAGTTGTGTTGATACAGTTATAGTATCTTCTATTCTATTTTACTTTTAGTATAACATTGTTATTGTCAGTTTAAAATCTGTTGTGCTAATGGACTTTACATCAGCATAAGTATTTGTATTCAATCAAAGTTTGTTATTTAAAATACACAGGTAGATGTTAAGCGAACACATTAACACTTTGATCATACATTTATACACCACAAACACACTTGAAGAATTTAAATAAAATGATGGTTAATAGAAATCATAATAGTGTTTCATGGATGAAAGAAATGATTTACATTAGAGTTTTGTTCCTTGTTTCATCAAATATCAGGCCACTGAGAAACTTTTTACTGACCATGACCCATTTATAATGCTCTTGGTCCTGATTTATGACACAGAATATACTCTATGTTTGGAAACAAAAGATCGAGTTACACTGTAACAGATTACCCTAAATAATAATTTAATAAATGAAATCTTACTTTAATGTGAACTAATGATGAGTATTAACGCAAACACTAATCAAGAACTTAGATTTGAATATGAATTCATTAGTGGAAACTTACCCCCAAAGTGCTAATTAATACATTAACTGACACAAGCACATGGTCAAGGTGGTCCTTATTCACACATGAGTCATGACTCATGTGTTAGTAAAATTAGATTTTATGCCTTAACTTAATTTGCATAACATGTACTGTTATTAGTTATATATTTTGATCAGTTCTCCAGCAACCATACAGTCTAAATCACATCAGATTTCACTGACCAAAAGGCTGTCTGACTGACATGTAAAGCAACCAGGGATAATCTTCTGTTGCATTGTGTTTAGGGGCATGAAAAAAGTATATGCCAGAAAGACAATGCCAGAAAGTACAAATGCTTGTGTAACCCATCATTTAGTTGATCATGATAAAGGCTGTTGTGTCGTAATGGTTAGTTTAGGTGGACCATTAGAAAAGATTACACATGGCCAATCAGCCAATCAAATGATGACTTAAAAAATGTCCTATTATCAGTTACAAATTATGATCAGTTCTCCAGCAACAGTATAGTCTCCTGTAGCCAAATCACATTAGATTTCACTGACCAATAGGCTGTCTGATTGACATGTAAAGCAAGCAATTACAGTTAATTGTCTGAAGCGTTGTGTTTAGGGGCATGAAAAAAGTATATGCCATAAAGACAATGCCGGAATGCACAAATTCTTCTTTAACCCAGCATTTAGCTGATCATGATAAAAGCTGTTGTGTCGTAATGGTTAGTTTTTAGGTGAACCATTAGAAAAGGTGACACATGGCCAATCAGCCAATCAAATGATGACTTATAAAAATGTCCTATTATCAGTTACAAATTATGATCAGTTCTCTAGCAACAATAGTCTCCTGTAGCCAAATCACATCAGATTTCACTGACCAAATGGCTGTCTGACTGACATGTAAAACAACCTAAAGAAGCAACCTGGCTCTTCTAAAGAAGAGTTCATCTTCTGTAGCGTCGTGTTTTAAAAAAGTAAATGCCAGAAAGTACTAATACTTTTTTAACCCAGCAGTTGGTTGATCATGATAAAGGCTTTTGTTCATTTCTAGGTGGACCATTAAAAAAAGACAATCAGCCAATCAAATGATGATCTTAAAACTCCTGAAGCGTTTCCATTTTTGTCTGCCATGTGAAGCAGGCCTTCAGTTTGTGTGACGGAGACTATCAAGAGTAGGGTGTTAAAACATGGACTTCTAACTGAGAGCAATTAAGATCTGACCCAATTCACCACCCTCAGCAACTTGTTATCAACAGTTTGATCTTAAACTGCTCAAAAGTCAGGCTCCAATAGGCCTATTATTCAATATAAAAGGAAAAACTGTCAATGTAAACATTTGTATAATATACAAAATAAGCTATCTGTATTAAATAAAGAGAAAGTGTTTATATTTTGTCCAACCAATTTTTGGTTCCAGGTTAAACATGACAGAACTGTTCTTATGGATTAACTCTACTGTATTGAAATCACATTTTATTTCACTAATATCAAGGATCACTAAAAAGAGCTACATCTTCAGTTGTGTTTTGAGAAAAATCACACCTTGATACGCAGAAAGAAAAAACACGCCGAAAAATCAAGAAGAATTCTTCTACTCAAACACCGACGCAAAGCAACAGTAGCTGCTCAGTAGCTGTGATAAACCACACGAATTACGCCCAAATTATGACATAAACCCCACGAAAACACAAATAAGGCCTGTAATGTGACAATCTCCGATTGAAAAAAATGAGATGAGAAGAAAAACAGTGTTTCGCAAGGGCTGGAGAATGGCTCAGGCCTAAGAAGCTGTTGGTAAGAGCTGTCAATTTCTGGCTCTCGAGCTAGAATTCAATTCATTATTAACGTTTGGTTTGTTGTTTTACCTTCCACAGTTGCAATGACAGACGCGGTCCTCTCCTCGTAAATGCGGTAAGATGTAGTTGTGAAAGCGGTCCAGGAGTGCGTTCATGTCCATTAAACACGCTATCGCCTGCAAAGAACCATTCGAGTCAACCGGGACATGACAAGCAGTATTGGAACACAGCAACCGCTACATGACCTGGTACTGTGACCACTGCAGGGGAAAATACACATTACATTTCCACATCAGCCACTAATACACACAAAGTACGGTTGTGCTGGTCTTAATGAGATTTTTAAATGGACTTTCAGCGGTCCGCACACTCGTTAAGCCCCGATTTCACTTTGAAAAAAAAATATGACTGAAATGCTCAATTGTGAAGTGCTTGGAGGACTTACCATGACGACTGAAGCACCGAGGATCATAAAAATCATGGTGGTTGTGATCATATGCATCAAAACTTCCGAACTCGCCTTTCCTCTTCCCCGATCCGGTTAAACTAAAAACATGCCGTCCCGGGAGAAGACGCTCATGGATGCGCCCTCACCGCTGCACCTGCCTCAGCCCTGAACCCGCCAGATTGGGAAGTGTTTATAAGGCGCATAGGGTTAGAATGAGCAGCTCTCTCTTATCCCAGCACTCGGTCTTCAGCCACATCCAGCGATATACGTCCCCCCAGTGCTGCAGTTGAATCCGCCTCAGCCGTGCGGTTGGGAGGGAGCGCGTCCTAGTCTGATTACTGATGCTGATGCTTCTCTCCTCCTTCGCGCTCCGACGCCGTTAGAAATATCTTGCGGAAGCGAGCAGTGCCCGGGTCAGCTACTTATCTGATATATCTGTCTTGGAGTTGACGTCTAGTAGACCTTCGATTCGTCGTCGAGGATTTATTTGAAGAAATGTGTGGTCGGCTTTACATATCTGCCGTAGTCGTCACAGTGTAGCCTATGTGGCAAGCCGGTTTAACATTTAGGCTACATACTTACATTTTTTAACTCACAGGTTTGAGTTGGTAGGCAAATATAAAAAAACGTTTTAAGGACTTATATGTTTAAAATGTTGTTTATACATATGTTTAAAACATTGCTGAGCTAAGGGAAAGAGGGGCACAAAGTAACACTTTTTGGTTTTGGCCAAAAAATGAGTAATGAGGAGTAAAATATTACTATTTACCCACCAAGTTCTTTTAAAATGGTTCCATCTTTTAGCACAGAAGACGGTAATCACAACAAAATAAGATTTCATTAACGCACTTTCACAGATTTATTGAAAATAAAAAACTAATAAAAAAACTTTTATGCTGCAAAAATGGTTTCTCCTGTGTTTCTCATCCAAATTTAACCAAACTTTTTCAATAATTGTCAAGAAGACATCTACTGACACTGGTAAAAACCTTGGAGACATGCCATGGTTAACACTGAGCAAATACCTTAAAACTCAGTGTTACATTTTACCCCCGCGCTCCCTTATATTTTTATTAAAATAAAAAATAGCCTAATCTTTTTTATTAAACAATTAGTGTTATTTTATTTTATTATATTTTAAGATGTAATTTATACTTTTGATGAAGTAGGTTGAATGAATTTGTGTCATATTATCATTCTGGAGCTGGTGATTTGGTCTGTTCTGCTTCTTTCATTTATATAATCACTTATTAATTATGCTAATATTGGTCAATTTATATTACTGCCTGTTCTATTCACATTTAGCTTTCAATATTAACCTACTCACTCATTTTCCTTCAGCTTATTGCCTGCTTTATTAGGGGTCCACATAGTGGAATGAAATGCCAATTATGCTGGCATATGGTTCACACAGCAGGTGCCTTACATTACTAGCACTCAGTGCTGGGGAAACACCCACATACTTTCCCGTTCAGACATTATGGCCAATTTAAGTTGATCCAATTAACCTATACTGGACTTTGGACTGTGGGGGAAACAGAAGCAACTGAAAATCTGAGCAGACATAGGGAGAACATGCAAACTCCTCAAAAATAGGTCTCCTGATCCAGCCAGGACTTCAACCAGTGACTTTCTTGCTGTGAGGCAACCATGCTAACCTGCTTATAGGGGTAAAGTGTTTAGTGGCAGTGGAAGCTGTCACTCAGCCACCAAATATTCTTTTATCAGTTTGATTAATAATGTCTCATTTACATCATACAAAATCTTAGCTTTTTGGTCTTATTTTTCTTGTTAGAACTCATGAGAATTTCATTTAAGGAGCAAATGTAAATATGGCTTCATTCCAGCCACCCTTCGCCCAGCCTTCCTTCTACTCCCGGTCCTGAATTTGTTGGTACAGTTGTCAACATTTCTTGTTTATATAATTCAAAGCAACATTTGATAAATGTATAGGTCATAGACATTTATTGACCATGTCAAATTAAACTGAGAACAGTGATTATATATTGCCACGGGACATAAAAGTCCTATTAAATGCAAATAAAGAGTCTTTAACTATAGGGCACAATAAATACAAATTTGATATTAGTCATTGTCAATGAAGCTACTATTCTTCACCCAAAATAGGTTAATGTTTCAAAAATGTTTTGTGGAAATAAAATATCAAAATATGGTTTACATAATGGCTATAATAATTATAATCAATTAAATTAATGGGGCAGCACAGTGGGTATCGCTGTCACTGCACAGTAAGAAGGTGGCTAATTCGAGGCTCAGCTTGGTCAATTAGCATTTCTGTGTGGAGTTTGCATGTTCTTACCGTATTGGCATGGGTTTGCAGGTGCTCTGGTTTCCCCAACATTCCAAAGACATGCGGTACAGGTAAATTGGTGAAGTTAAATTTTCTGTAGTGTATGTGTGAAAATGAGTGTATGTGGATGTTTCCCAGTGATGGGTTGCAGCTGGAAGGACATCCGCTGCGTAAAACATATGCTGGATAAGTTGGCGGTTCATTCTGCTGTGGCGACCCCAGATTAATAAAGGGACTAAGTTGAAAAGAAAATGAATGAATGAATGAACAAATCAATGAATTAGAATGAGCTGTGCCCTAATCCTTAAAATGTTACTTTTAATATTTCATCTGGAAATATTTATTTTTTGCTGTAAACACTAAATGATATTATGTGGATGTCTTATGACATCCGTATGTATGTAAAATTTGCATTTGGTAAAAGTTGGTAAAAATGTGCAAACTAATTAAAGACCCATCACTTCTCTTCTTTTCTCTGTATTTAAAACATGTTTCGGCTATTTTACAACTCAACCTAACCATATTACCTAAAACTGTTTGCAAATGTTATTTTATTAACAAGATATTGTTAAATAGTGATGCATAAATTGGTACAAGTGTCAAATATTCAGCTATAAGCAGCAAAGCAATAAATAAAAAGTACTAAATATCTAAAGTTGCAAATTTTATGACAATAAAATATCAGTTTAACTTTTGTTTGATAAAACGATTCTAAGCATTTTCGAAAGTAAAAAAGATTCTACACATCTCTTTTCTTGTGTTGCCTGCTCAGACTGGAAATATCAGAATAGTGAAGCAAAATTGAAATCACAGATAGTTTTTATGAATAAAAGTAAAATTGGCTTGCCACACACTGTAGGTTTTTGTTGATAAAGTAGGCTTCTTTAAGCCACCATACGAGCAGTTCCTTCTTTCTTAAAATCCATTTAGGTTTATGCAGAATCTTCCATCAGTTTTATTCCTCGCTCTTTAATCCACAGCAGTTTCTTTCCTCCGTTTCTCGTGACCGTGCGCGCGCGTGTATGTGAGAGGGGTGGAGGGAGTCACGGAGAGGGGGTTTGGGTGGGGAGAGGTAGAAGACTCTTGACTAATTCACTTTTCCCGTAAAAGCACGGGTTGATCTTCTTCAATTAATGAAATGCACTACATTATATAGGACAGCCATCCCCCAAGGAGCGTGTAGTTTATCCCAGCCCATCCTCACGCCCCCTCGCGCGCTCTGCAGTTCATGTTGCGCCATTTCTTTCAGCCCGTATACGATTCTTCAGCTTCTGTATCTCACCTCCTGTTCCCGGTGTACGTAACTAACACATGTGAAAGGACCTTGACTGAAGAAGATACAAAGCACTGACAGACTTGGCAGGAATTCAGGCTTTAAGTCTTAACTCAATTTCCTACTTGATGCACTTCAGTTTCTTTCCAGCGCGCGCAGTAACGCAGAGTGATGAACACCAAAACGCAAACAAATCCATTCTGTTCTAGTGCTAAACAATGTGCGGCTGTGACAAGTGAAAATGCATCGCTGAGGATTTTTTTCTCTCTCTCCATGCAATAACTGCAATTTTCATTTTCACTGTGAAACACTAGTTCATTATAGGTAGTAATATATTGATGACACGCATCTTTGTCTGTGAAGGTCACTGTGAACATGCCATGATGTCCCTCACATTCAGCAGCAGCATTTCAGCACCCTGGAGAGCAGCACAGTGAAGATTTACTGCTGACCACCATCAAACTCTCTCTCTCTCTCTCTCTCTCTCTCTCTCTCTCTCTCTCTCTCTCTCTCTCTCTCTCTCTCTCTCTCTCTCTCTGTTGGATTGTCTGCCTACCTCAATAAGCTGACACAATGTAGAATGAAATGGAGAAAGAGCAAGACTGTTAAATAATGTTGTGACTGCTTTTCCTTTGCAAACCTCATAACAAATATAAAATTAAACTTGACATTCAGATCAAAAAGAATATTGACTTCATATATAGGCCTGTGTTTTTTAGCAGAATCTTTAATTGCATTGTTTTTCTTTGCACATTTAAAAAAAATATTTCGATATAACAAAATCTGTAAGAGTATTGCTCTTACAGATTTTGTTATATCGCAATATTTTGTTGAATTAAAACTTTTTCTTCAGATATTTAGAAAATCTCTTTTATATCTTGCGTATTAATATTTCATATTGTTTTATTGATATTGTTTTGAGAGCTTTTTAAAATGTTTTATTTATACATTGTAAAACATGTCGGTTCATTCCGCTTTGGCGACCCCAGACTAATAAAGGGACTAAGCCGAAAAGAAAATGAATGAATGAATGAAAAACACATTATAAAAAGGTAAAAAACAAAGGACAACAAAAACATGTAACAATAATCAAATACACTGAAGAGTATATAAAAAACACTACTGCAATCTTATATACAGAAAATACAGGTCTGGCGTGCTAACCAAAACAAGTATCCAGTACCTAGCTGGAAGTTGGGGTCAAGCTAAAAAGTTTGGACATGTTCATGAAGAGGTTTCCACAGTTTATTGAAAACAGTGTTAGATCGGTGAAGAGAGTTTTTCTCTAATTTCTTAAAATAAAGAACATTTCTTATCCAGCAAGTGTGGGAAGGAGGGTAAGGGCTCTTCCAGTTCAGAACAATTAAATGCCTAGCCAGAAGGGTTAAGAAGGCTACAAAGTCTGCAAAGTAAGAGGGTAAAGAGTCGCCAGGTGCAGAACCCCATAAACTAATAAATGGACAAGGTGGAATTTCAACATTCGTAATAACAGACATCGAGATGAACATTTCCCTCCAGAAAGAAAACAGGGAAGGACAGGACCAAAACATATGAATTAGAGTTACTGAACCTGTTGCACTCGAGGTCATTAGATGGGTTGATGCGAGCTATTTTAGAGCTTTTTAAAAAGAAAATGACATAGTGTTTTCAATTGTTGTGACTGAGAATTAAGCTTGTTCCACCAAATATTTTTTTAATTCTTCTGGATTGAAACTACTTGTATTGTTTTGTCTAAAAAGGAATATAAATATGCCTGAAAATATGGCATGTTTTTATTAATTTATGTAACAACAACAACAACAACAAGAGCAAAATGCTCTAAACAACATTAAAGTTATGTGTTTGAGTAAAACTTATGTTTTGTTAACGTAAACCGCTGCAAACTACATTTATTCATAATTTTAAACATAAGTTTATGTAATTTTTTTGTATAAAATGTAATGTTGCAATCCTTTTAGACTTTTCAATCTTTAATTAAATAAAAAACTTGAAAACCTTTCTAATTATTAGTTTTGGGTAAAAATAATCAAATTCATATTAGAATTTTTGTAATAAAAAGGGATTTGTTTAATTTATAAATTAAAATAAACGTTAACATTTGACATATATATAGAGGTTGTTTTGATTAATCTAATGTAATCAAATTGCTAAAATAAAATGAAAATAACAATACTGTTATTATATTTTAACTGATGGAAGCTTATATTTATGATTTGGTAGGCGTTAGTATAGCATTAGTTTACGTGCAACTAATATCATCAAAGCTATCCCACAATCTTTATTGCAGATGTCTTGTAATCTCAAAATAATATAACACCTTGTCTTCCTCAGCCTTTGGTGAATGGAGTGTATGGATATGAATATCCACTTATCCAATACCATAATCCGGAATATTTTTAATAAAGAACTATATCCCTTTCATTCAAATACAAATGTTTTATTTTATTATTTCTCTAAGGAAAAATTAAATGCTTAGAAGTAAATATTTAAAGTTCCCACTGGCACTAAAAGTAAAGGAAGTCCATTTTTAAATTCCAAATGGAATCTATCCCTCTAAAATTTTTGAGATGTCGATTTGGTTTTGATAAAAGCAATTGTTCCTTTTGTGATGATCAAATTGAGACTACAGAGCATCTTTTCTATGACTGTTAATTTGCTTGTGCCTTTTGGGAAGATTTACATTATTGGTTATTTTCTAAGTTTGAAGATTTTCATGCTTCAACAAAAGAAAATGTACTGTTTGGTTATTTAGCAATTAACACAATTATTTTTTTTGGGAAATTCTTTTTTACATTTTTTTTTGCATTAGAATAGGTTCTTAAGAGTTTCTCCCAAATCTTATGTATTTCACAAGGTATTATGTCTTTATTTTCTATAGCTTAAGCAAGTTGAAGAAAAAGAATGCTGCAATTCTCTATGATTTAATAGAACAACTTGAACTTGCTGAAAACCCCTATATTTTTTCATTTATTCATTTTCTTTTCGGCTTAGTCCGTTTAATAATCTGGGGTCGCCACAGCGGAATATATATATATATATATATATATATATATATATATATATATATATATATATATTTTTTTTTTTTTTCTATTACATTTTGTTTATTAAGCTTGTCTGTTGTCTGATTAAGGAGGTTTGTATTTTGCACCAGGCCATTTAAAGTTGTATTGTTTACTTTATTCAATAAAGTTCAAAAAAAAAAAAAAAAAAAGAAAAACGAAAAAAATGTTTACGTTTACGTATCTTTATAGGTTTATTTAACATTTTTCCATTTCTATTGAAATGGCCATTGCTTAGCAAGAAAAACATAAAAACATAGGTTTATATATTTTTTATATATTACATTTAAAATATTAACAAAAGATTTAAATTTATCGGCGTTATAAAGTCTTTTATTTGTGACGTTCTCCAGTCGCTTGCTTCACGCCGCTTCTCATCATTCGACGTCACTTCCGATGCAATTCACGTTGTTTTGGGTGAAAGTTGTTTGTAAACGCAACACAAATAATGGTTGTACTGCTTAAATGAATTACCGAATCAAATGTAGGACGGACGTTGTTTATATCACATTACAGAAGTGCCCTGTTTCACTGAGCTGTAGAGGAAACCGGCGTTTAAAAGGACCGAGTTGTAGTAACGTTACGACAATAACAGCAAAGTCGCCGGTGTTGTTACATGACAACTGTCAAAGCTCACAGGCGACTATTTTCTGCTTTTTTGTCACAAATTACATCATAAAACCGACCAAAAAGGTATTGACGCTTCTTAAGTTAAATTAATATTGCAAATAATGCCAATTATTTACTTAACGAGCGTCGTTCTTTTCATTTAATAGTTTATTATTATTATTTACTTTTTTTCTCACTGTGCATTAAATTGTTTTAACACTTTTGTCTTTCAGAATGATCAAGAGTTTACCCATAAATGTTCAAGCACAGCTGCGCTCTGGTGTTGCTATTTTCTCATTGCAGCAGTGTGTGGAGGAGCTCATATTAAACAGCATTGATGCTGGAGCAACATGTGTGGCTGTCAAAATAGACATAGAGGCCTGCAAGCTTCAGGTCATTGACAATGGCTCAGGAATGTGCCTGGAGGACATGGAGAAAGTTGGACTACGCTACAACACAAGCAAATGCAGCTCCCTGGAGGATTTGGATAATCTTCATTTTTATGGTTTCAGAGGAGAAGCCATTTCCAGTATAGTTTCCCTTGCAGAAATGGTGGAAATATCATCTAGGACTAAGCAGTCTGTGAAAACGTATGTTAAATCCTTTAATGAAACAAATGCATTGGAGGTTTTCGAAGCTCAAACTGTTCGCCCTTCTGCAGGGACGACCGTCTCAGTCTACAATCTCTTCCACAACATGCCAGTCCGTAGAAAGCGAATGGATCCTGTTTTAGAAACCGAACGAATCCGTCAGAGAGTGGAGGCCATATCTTTAATGCATCCATCTGTGTCATTCACAGTGAAAAAAGAAAATTCAGCACACATGATGGTGCAGCTCTCTAAAACAAGCAGTACCTATTATAGGTTTGTCCAAATTCATGGCTTAAATCGAGCCCAAAAGCTTGGAGAAGTCAATTATGAGCACGAGCAGTTCCAAATAACCGGTCATATAGGCCGTGAGGGCCATTACAACAACAGTTTGCAATTTTTATTTGTAAATGAGAGGCTTCTTCTAAAGACACGCATTCATAAAACACTAAACTGCCTTTTAAAGAGAGTAAGCGGTGCTGCAAGGCAAAACAACAGCCCAACCTCATATCCGGTAACATCCAGCCCCAAACAGAAGGGAGGATATGATCTCCATGGCATTTATGTGATAAATATCAAATGTCATTACTCAGAGTATGACATATGCCTCGAACCAGCCAAGTCTCTGATAGAGTTCAAAGACTGGGATAATGTGCTCATCTGCATTGAAGAAGGGGTAAAGGCATTCCTTACTAAAGAAAACCTGGTGTCGGAGTTAAACACGATCAGTAATGATGGTCTACCATGTAGTCCAGTAAGAAATGCAGAAAGCTCAGAAAAACAAAAGCGCAGTTCTGAGGAAACAAATGAAGCATGTGAAACGATGATTGAGAAAAATGATTCAAGTGTTGTGGACGTCGCTGATGGTGTGCAAATGTTAGAGCAGGAATCAATATACACTGAATCGGATGCAGGAAAAGCACTTCAGAGTGAAGATTTGCCTTTTCAGACCACACTTGTTGGTGCTGCTGAAATTAATAACAACCACAAAGAAGATGAAAATGCAGTTTGTTCAAATATAAGCCATACTGATTCACCGCTTGCTGTAAACAAAAATGTAATGGGAAGCAAATCGCACAAGATTTCACTTCCAGAAGCACAAGATAGTTTGCAGAAATTCTACACCCCAAATAAAACCTCTCCAAAAAAGAGAAGGATGCCGTTAAATGACACCGAAGAAGACAAACATGTTTTTTATGGTGGTCCCTCAAAGACATTTAAAGCTACACCACCTCGTAAATTAACCCTGTCTTTTGAAACGGGATCTCTTGACAAGTTCAAAAGGTTGTTTGGGAAAGAGGCTGAGAAAAAACAACCAAGCACAGAAAAAACAAGCCTTCTAAATCCAAATCCCAATGACCGCTTTGTAGGATCTACATCGTGTTTGGATGATCTACACCATCCAGTATTGAGGAACAGTTCAGGTCATCCTACTACACACAGATCTACTGAATCTTCATCGCTGAACAAGAAAAACAAAATATCATTAGCTGCCAAATGTTCCTATTTAAAACAGGACAAAGAGCTCTGCAGAGATTCAAACTTCCTTAAACGGGACCTTTCATCTTTCCCACCCTCACAAGACTCATGCTTTGAAGAATTAGAAAAAACCCTCTTAGATGAAGATGTTTTATTTGGATCATCTGGAATTGTTGATTCTGTTGACTTTCCTCTTATTGAACAGGACACAGCATTACCATCTGTTGCAGAAGAATCGCACCTCTTCAACAACAATGTGACTTTCTTTATTGGAAATGAGAGCAGTGTTGATGAAGCCAGCGTTGCCTCTCAGCGTGATCCTCAACACAGCATTGCAGGAAATGAAGGTCAGACTACAAACGAAAGTGTTGAATCAATCCCAGTGTCCAACAGCTGGTTGGCTCATTACGATAGCTGGTTAGGAAAGCTGGTTTATATCAATCAAGTAACAGGGCTCAGCAAGTACAACTCTCCCCCTATGGAGGAGACTCAAGTGCCATGTACCACAGATGTCACTAACATGGCGGTCAGTGTTATTTCAAAAGCAGGTGCGGGAAATGCAGTGAGACGTTTTTGGATCAGTAATGTGCAGATGTCTTTTATTATAAACAGCTTCTCTTTGCTCTTAGGCTTTGAGTACAGGTGTTATCCATTTCAATCAGACATTGTACTTCCCTTTCTGCCCAAGCCCAGAGCAGAAAGAGCCTTTAACTCAGGGACAGACAGCAGAGGTACAGCTCTAGACTGACATAAGGCCTGAAATCAGCTTTTCGGTGCACTTTAACTAATTGTTTTTTTTGTTACTCTTTAAGAGGATGCCCAAGCTCCCGATTCACTGTCGACTTTATTCTCAGAATGGCACAACCCTGTGTTTATACGACCACCAGAGGTAAAAAGTACTGAATAAAATAGTGTGTGTATAAAGCAGGTCGCACACCAGAAGCGCCGCGACACGGCGCGTACATGACAGTTTAAAGTATCACACACCAGACGCGCACATTTGAATGATATTTAACATGAAACTAATCAGATGGCGCTCTGTGGCGTGGCTGAAAAATGAACTGCGTCCTGAGCCGTCGCCGGGCGCCGCCGACAGCCGCCGACTTGCGGCGCCGGTGTGTGTATCCTGATAGAAACCTATGTTTAGAATTCTAAAATACATGGCGCTGCGCGGCGCGCCGCCGAGCGGCGCTTCTGGTGTGCGACCTGCTTTAGGGTTGTCATGATACCATCAATTCAGACCAAGACACTATACCAGCTGAAGTATGACAATATCAAGTAGTACTGTAGTGTCGATACTGCAGTAATTCATTACTCAAATCAGTTAGAAATACTATATTTTATGTCATAACACTTAAATTCAATTCAGAATTCCCTTATTATTGAAAATGTATTATTTGCACACACTTTCTCTGTTTTTTTTGTATATACTGTCACTCTTTTGTTGATATTACAATAATAATAATAATTAAATATATAAATCATTGATCACGCCGTATGATCTGTCATGACAGCACCAAACTACGACTTGTATGCAGACAGTTCAAGTAAAAGTAAAATAAAGTGGTCTATTAATTATTTTTGGCACAAATGTAATGACCAAAGTATTGTTTACATACTTCAGCGGCACCGGCAGTATTTTGGAGCCATAGTATCGCGGTGCTACCAAAGTACCGGTAAACCATACAACCCTAGTGTGTATATAAATAGTTTCACTATTATTTATTTACTAACAAGACCTTTTGGTAAAGTGTTACCTTACAAATTATTCTAAGCAACCTTACTCATGTGTTCTGTTGTTTATTTTAATAAGGTTGCTGTTGATGTAACCAGCGGCCAAGCAGAGGGTCTTGCTGTAAAAATCCACAATATTCTTTTCCCCTACCGTTTTACCAAGAATATGATCCACACAATGAGAGTAAGTATTGCCTATTGAAAGATTACACATTTCTTTAAATATATAAACTGTTTTTACATTTTAAGATGCATTTTGACAGTATAATTGATCCTAAGTAAAGCATACAGCATCATGTCTCCATAGTGATGCTTATTGTCAGTTCCAGGCCCAGCTGTGTCTTTTGTCTAACAAATGGCTGGGTGATACTTTCAGGCAAGGCCCTGAAAGCAAGATTTCTTTACTAAACCTGTAATGGCAGTTTCTTTTTGTACTAATAAGCACTGCCCACTAAATTGTGTATTTAACTGCGTGTAAGCTGCAGTAGTTAAGAGGTTTTTTTTTTATTAACGCCAAAGGATTCTGCTTTGAAGAGACCCGAAAATCACAACACTATCTTCTCTTTTTAGAACTTGTGAATCTGACACTTACTGACCATAGCCAGGTATTCATCCTAATGTGGTAAAATAATTTAAACAATTGGTCGAATCCAATAATGTTTTAATTTAAAGCCTGACTCTTCTGTAGTTACGTCGTGTATTAAGTCTGACTATTCAACTCTACGGTTTAACTTTAGGGGAGCTGTACACTAAGCATTTAGTTTTTAAAAAAAATGTGAAGTATGCCTTTAAGTCGTTAGAGTGGCTGACTGTAGTATTGGTAACCTAGTAACCAACTGTAAACAAGGCATGCATGTTTAAAGACTATAGAATACACAAGACATGGCACTCGTATCTTTTTGAATGCGGAAAAGTGTAACGATCAATATTGCAAATAAAGCCCGCCCTTCTAGTACAGGAATCAATCATTGATCGCTATAGACTGATGATACTCCGGGGGAGGGGCTCAGACCAGACGCGAGTTTCTGCAGATTTTGTGTGATTTGGACGTTTAGAAGTGAAACTAAAGAAACAGGTGTTGTTTAATTTCATTGGTGATTCCTAATATGAAATTCAACCGTAAGCTTGGCAAATAGCTTTTGGAGAAATTGATGTTTCCCCATTCAGACAGACTGCCCGAGCATGCTGCCTGAGAGGTGTTTCAAAGATGGCAGCTAAGTGAAATGACTTGCCTTAAAGGGACTTTAGCATAATGGAGACAGGTGATTGGTCATGTGAGTGTGATGTCTGCTATGCTAGAGATTATTCAGCAAATTAATTTCCATTTCGCATTATTCACATACTTTTTTTTGCACCACCTCTAATGAGCAGAAAAGCTTTTGTGAATTTACTGAGTTTAAAATTATTTATTTATTGTATTTTGAAAGGATCTATCACTTGTTTCTTCTGTAATTCTTTAAAATGGACATTAAATCAGGATGATTTAACCCAGCTACTGTCACAAATAGGACTTTCCTTTAAAATGAATGTAAAATTGCTTTCTTTTTTACCCTTAGGTCATCAATCAAGTAGACAAGAAGTTTCTTGCTTGTTTGATAAATACAGCAGGGCAGAACACCTCTGAAAGCAGTACGGATGAAGGTATTGTGGGCTGAAAATCACAATGTTAAATGATTATATAAATCTAAACTTTTGTCATTGCTTCTCCTGGCAGGGAATCTTCTAGTGCTGGTTGATCAACATGCTGCCCATGAAAGAGTTCGACTAGAGGGTTTAATAGCAGGTAAATGATAGTGATAGAAGTAGATAAAAAGTACTACATAAAAAGACATTTTATATATTAGATAATAGTTAATAGCACCAAATAATCATATTAAATTGTTTTCAGAAGGAGTTGAAACTTTTGCTAAACAGTCCTCAAATCAAATGACATTAAATGTATTAAATACAGTTATTTAAAAAAAAATACTGTTTTACTGTAGTTGTTTTTATTAGCATAAGAGTTTTTTTCAAAAACATTAATAACCTTTAGACCCCAAACTTAGCTTATAAAAATATAAAAAAAAAATGAAGTTCATATAAAAGCATTAAAAAGTCTAATACACATCAGGTGAGATGCATCAAAGTATTCAATATATTTTTACAAACACTGCTTGTTTGTTTTTAATAGACTCTTACGAGGATGACCCAGACACACCTGGAAAAAAAAGGCTGTGTTCCTCACGTGTAACCCCACCTTTGGAGATTAATGTAACCGAGGAGGAATTGAGACTTTTGAGGTCAGTGCAGCTGTTTGAGTCAGCATTCCTGAATCCACCGTCGTCTCCTTTTTGAAATGTACATGTGTGCTCAATTAGTTCTGCACCCTCGCCCAAACAAAATGGTGTCATAAATCTTTCTTTTGTTCTTCAAGGTCTTGTCAGGGTTTCTTGAGAGGTCTTGCGTTAGATGTGAGGTTTCCGAAAAGTGAGTCACTGAGTGTGTTTTTGGAGAGTCTGCCCACATGTTTCATAGAGAAAGAAAGCACAGAGCTCCGCCGTGGAAGGCGCTCGGTAATTAAAACCATTGCAGAGGTCAGGCTCAGTTCTTATTAGTTTTTTAACTGATTTAAGTTCAGTTTAGAGTCTTATACTGTGTGTTTTATCCTGCAGGACTATCTGCGAGAACACATTGAGGTGAGCTGCCATCTAGAGATGTGATTTTTATATCTTTCTTTGAACAAAATACTATAAATGGTATGGTTTTGGAGCTTGAAGTATATATATTTATGACCAATTTTGTTATTTTTACATGTGTTTGCAGCTTTTTCGGTCAACAGGAAGAGTGAGAGGAATTCTGCCTCTGACAGTACATAATGTGCTTGCCTCACAGGCTTGTCATGGTTGGTTGGTGACATCAACTTAAAAATGTTTTGTTTATAAACTTTCATAGGCAGTTTTACCAATTTTAAGTATAATAACATTTCAGTGTGCACTTTTTATTAGACCTTAAGTATATATAGATAAGCTCTAATTAAGCTGTTTTTGAGCAGTGTGGTGTATAACGGTTATGAACATAAAAAGTTGCAAGTAGCTACAATAGATTAAGTTGTCAACTCTCAAAAGAAAGAAGGGGTTGAGATGAGGCTGATTTTTTGCACTCTGTTGGCTAATCAACTTTAGATATTAACAGTTCTTGTATTGGTGTGGTAAAATCAACACTAGTTGCACTATTTATTCCTTCTGGGAGTTCAAATTCAGATAATGAATTTTTTATGCTGTAAGTCAGGGGTGTCCAAACTCTGTCCTGGAAGGCATGCATACTTTAGCTCCAACATTCTCTAACACACCTGCCTGGAAGTTTTAAGTATACCTAGAAATAGCTTGATTAGCTGGTTCAGCTGTGTTTAATTGGGGTTGGAACTAAAATATTCAGGACACCGGCCTTCCAGGACCGAGTTTGGACACTCCTGCTGGAAGTGGTTGATCAATCCCAACAACCGGGGCAATCTGACCGATTAGAGGAGTGTGGTGTCTGAATTTAGGGGTTTAGCCAGACCAAATCTTTAAACGAACCATTTAAGACACTGAGAGATAAAAGTTGAGCCTGTATCAATGTAAATAATTAGAAACTGAATTGTTTTAAATTAAAGATGTTACAAACAACACTAGTGCTATTTATATAATCTGAGAGTTACAATTTAGATGTAATTTTCTTTCTATGCTGTAAGCGATAGACCAATCCCAACAACCAAGGCAATGTAACCAATCACATGAGTGTGGGATCTGAATATAGGGGTTTAGCCAGACCAAATCTTTAAATCATGGGTCTCAAACTCAATTCCAGGAGGGCCACAGCTCTGCACAGTTTTGGCTCCAACTCTAATTAAACACAGCTGATGTGACTAATCAATGTGTTCAAGACTCTTTAGAACACCTTGATTAGCTGGATCAGCTGTGTTTGATTAGGGTTGGAGCAAAACTGTGCAAAGCTATGGCCCTCCAGGAACCGAGTTTGAGACCCATGCTTTAAATTAACTATTTCAGACACATAAAGGTTGAACCTGCATCAATGTATATAATTAGAAACTGAAGTGTTTTGAATGAACACTAGTTGAACTATTTATATCATCTAGGAGTTAAAATTCAGATATGAGATATTTCTATGGTGTTAGCGGCAGACTAATCCCAACAATCAAGACAATGTGATAGTAAAATCAACACTAATTGAACTATTTATATCATCTGGGAGTTAAAATTTAGGTGTGAAATATTTCTATGCTGTAAGCGGTAGACCAATCCGAGCAACCAAGGCAATATGACGAATCAGGGGTTTAGCCAGACCAAATGTTTAAATGAGCCATTTCAGACACCGAGAGATAGAGGTTGAGCCTGTATCAATGTATATAATTAGAAACAAGTGTTTTAAATGAAAGATGGTAAAATCAACACTAGTTGCACTTTTTATATCATCTAGAAGTTAAAATTCAGATATGCAAATTTTCTATGCTATAACCGGTAGACCAATCCCAATAACCAAGGCAATGTGACCAATCAGATGAGTGTAGGACCTGAATATCCGCTTGTTAAGTCGTGACACCGGTGACATATAGAAATCTGTTTCCAGGTCCAAGCTGCTACTCATTTGAATTGAGAAAACATTTCTTTATGGACACTTTTTAGTCCTAACACATATTAAATTGAATTTTACATAAAATCATGGGTCTCTGGGCTTGCTGCATCACAAATACCAAATTATTTAATAATTTATTTTAAAAAAATTATAATTTTTTGGCCATCGGATATTAGGCATACATTTATTGCGATCGGGATTTTTCAAAAGTATCACACCGCTTTGTAAATGTTTATTATTTCTGTTTGATAAGTCTCTCCATGCAGTTTGATAGAGCGCTTGGACCTGGAAGCCGCTTTGCTTGACGTCACACTTAACAAGCAGATATGTGTTTAACTAGACCAAATGCTTAAATTAACCATTTCAGACACTGAGAGATGAAGGTTGAGTCTCTATCAAAGTATATATTGAGAAAGTGAAGCGTTGTAAATGAAAGATGATCTACAGGACATGCCTTCATCAAAATGTTAAATATTTAATAGCATAATAGGTGCACTTTAATAATTACTATATTGTTAAAGTATTTTAAATGCAATGAATGTAAGCTTGCGGTTAATTAATGAGAAGTGAGGCTTAAATTCACTAAATGATTGGAGAATTCCTGCAAACGGCATTTATTTTGAAGATCTGATTATACATTTTTATTAAACAGTGCAGTGTCAAAATGTAGGATAAGTTGCAACATGAACATAACATGAATTTATAAACTAGATAAGGTGAATTTTCAGAGTTTAACTGCATATAGGTCTAGTCATTTGGTATTATTAAGATTTTTTTTTATTTTAATTTTATTTTCCCCCCCAACAGGAGCAATTAAATTCAATGACGTTTTGAATAAAGAGGAGTGCTGTAGTCTGGTGAGCTCGCTTTCCTCTTGTCGGCTTCCTTTTCAGTGTGCTCATGGAAGACCCTCCATCGTCCCTCTGGCAGATCTGCACCACCTGGAAGAACAGCAGGTGAGTTTCAAGCAAATCTGATCTTATGTCTGCCCACTTTTGTCTATTATGAACATAATGATGGTTATAATAAATATCATGACAAATTACTGACAAGCATATCACGATCACCCAACACTCATTAATCCAGATTTGTTTTGCTCATGTCATTTTTTTTTTTTGGTTTAATTTTTATATCCCCACAGGATATTCCCAAACCAAATCTGAAGAAACTAAGAAGAATGTACAAGTCATGGCAGCTGTATGGACAAAATCAATATTTTGCACAGAACAAAGCATAAATCTATAAGCAGAAACCTCTTTTGTATTAAATAATTTATTTTAATAGAGATATTCTGGTGCTTTTATTGCTGGGTGGCTTTTATTTTGTTACACCCTTCGGCGCACATAGTTGTTGGCAAAAACAACTCTTGTGGGAGAGAAAAGCCAATAATAAAGGACTATACTCGAGCATCAAGTATTTTCCTCCAATCATATTGTGCCTTGGAACGTTGTGGTCCAATCAACGCAAACGTAGGAGGGCGCTAAAATGGATGACGTTCCTCTCCAGCTCATTGTTGGTGCATTTCGTTGGTCGGTGGAAGCTGCGGCAGGAAGAACTGAGGTATATCTAAACAACAAATATTACTTTAAAGGCGAGTTTGCGCGCAGAAGTGAAATGTAGTAACGCACAGAAACAGTCTTATAATGAATATACAACGTATATTGTTTAATCAAGGGTCTCGGTGTGTTAAAACAAGGGGTCTCTCATCCTCCCAATTCAAAGATGGCCGAACAGCAGCATTGACGTATGAATTTTGGCGCTTTCTCCACGAGATTAAAACGCCCTAAAATCATATAACATCAGATAAAATGTGAGAACTCGCCGGTGTTGTTATGTTAACATAAGGTATTTGTTTATTTTGCGAATGCGGAAGTTAAAGTATTAACACGATTGTTTGAAACCTCTCGCAGATTACATGGCACATGCTTGAATCTGCAGTGTAAGTTACAGTAAAAACTAACATTGACGCATAAACGTTGTTAAATTTTAAAATGTAAGCGAATTCTTGTTCATCTTCAGTTAATGTGCATCATTTTGTTGTTCTTTTGCTGTAGTTTGGACATTTTGACCTTTTAGTACAGACGTGGCATAGAAGAGCATCATTCATATGACATTTGGACTGAAGGGACTAAGTTAATGTTAACCTTGTAATTGTAGAAACATATAAATTGTGATGCTTGCTGATACAATTATTTACAAATCAATAATGAAATGTTTTATGTCTTTTTGTGTTTTAATCCATGCATCTTATATTTAGATTAATTCTTTAATCTAAAATAATTTTATTAACTTTTATTCCGTCGTTTATATCTATTTTGCAGTTAGTCTTAATGAGGTCAGAAAGTCTAAAATGTAACAAGTCATGACACTAAATGTTGAAATGCATTAACTGAAGTTTTTCTAGAATACAGCAGTTTAAATGTACTTAAATTAAGATACATTTAGGTAATAAACAATGATGAAGTACAGACGACCAACTTTAGATCTCTTATCAATCAAGATTCTTTTAAATTCTTTGAAAATAAAACAGAAATACTAGCGAAAAACCATTGTTTATCTGTAAAAAAAAAAAAGTGAAGATTTTTTTTTGTTGTTGTTGAAATTTTAACGAATATGAATTCTTTTTATTTACTAATTAAAAAAAACATTTGTTATTTGTTATAGAAATCATAAACTCGATTTTCACATGACTAGACCTATGAATTCTTTAAAATTTTGCACTGGAAAATAAAACAAATACTATGAAGAATCACTTTTTTTACAGTGTGTTCAGACGATGCAGTAGAAGTTATTTCCATATCATAATATTTAGGAGCGTGATCATGTTTTATTTACTTAAACCATCCTTCATAAAACCTGCAAACCTTGTTTATGAAGAATATTTTTGCAATAATACTCATTTCCTGGTATAAGCCTATGAGAAGGCATGATTTAGATGTTAGTATTTGATTATATTGATTTTCTCGTCACATTAGTGATGAACAGGATCCGGATCCATGTCCTGCCATCCAGCAGAGGTCGAGTGACTCAGGCTGCTCGTGCTCAAGAACCTCAGACCTGCTCGTACACCCAAAGACCGTGTTCACAGCCGCGTCTGGAAGGCCTGGAGTTCTGCATCAAACACGTGCTTGAAGACAAAAACGCTCCATACAGGCAATGCAGCTACATGTCCAACAAGAATGGCAAGCGATGTCCCAATGCAGCCCCTAAACCTGAGAAAAAAGAGGCGTGGGTTTTTTTAATTGCTCATGCTCACTTAAAATAATTATAATGTCCTCTTATGGATAATTGACCATTGTTTTTTTTTCCCCTTTTAGGGTTTCATTCTGTGCTGAGCATGCACGCAGAAATGCATTGGTTCAGCAGGCTCAAATGCGGAAAGCATCCGCTTCGGGACCGTCCCCTGAAGTCCTGCTCTCGCAGCTGAGTGGCTACAGTCGGCCTGAACCTGGAGCTCACAGTCAAGAAGGTCATAGTGAAGCTAGCCGAATACTAGGTGAGATTTAATTAGCTTTTTATGGCCCTTCTCCATTGAGTGGTACGGTATGGTACAGTACGGGTCACTTTTATCCACTGCTAAAAGGGTACCAATGGTACTCTTTTGGTATGTGTGGTGTACAACAGAAAGTTTCAGTTAACATCATTCTTACTTGAGAAAATATCAAAGTAAAGCAGTGCGGGTCATTCACATATCATATAAGAAGCACTTCTCACAAAACAGATGCTGTTACTTGTGTATAAATACTTGTGTATAAATTTCATTACTAACCTTTCTATGAACATGATTTGATTGTAACTGCAGATCAATGACAGTGCGAAATAGCCTACTGTAACATCTACAATTATATAAAATAAATAAATGCAACATGTATAAACATTTGCAGACCCTTACATTCTTCAATATGTTACCAATAATAAAAAAACTACATGCAGCATACATTTAGTCCTTATTTGGGTTCAAAAACAACACGCAACATATAGCTCGCAGTCAGAGCAAACCTCTCATCTGTATCTTTAATATTCGGCAGCACATGTAAACTCTGTTAGAGAGTAATTTTATCATTCAGAGTTCATAATAGTCCAAAAAGTGAGGATAATAGCTAAACATGGCAGTTTGTTCATCTTTTAGGTTGCTAAAAGAATCATTGACTTTTTTGTTTTTTTATGGCTTCTCCTTTGTTTTTTCTCGCGTTTGTGCGTTTCTGACAGGATCGGATGTCAGAAGCACTTCAATACACGCACTTTATTATCTTCAGCTCAAGAAGTTTGTTATTTCAAATATAGATGTGCGGCGAGTACAATCGAGAAAACGAAACCACTTGCAATTTAGACAGCCTTGTAAAAAGCATATGGGGCACAGGGTAAAATCTGCTCTTCTTGGCATTATGGCTTTTCAGCAAGAAGCTGACAAGGTTTGTTTGAGCTCGGGTCGACCATGGCTCATTATTATTTGTGTATATTCTTACTGTGAAATGTCTCAGCTGTGTATTTAAAACATGGCATTTCTTTTCGTTGTGGCTTGCTGCACGAGCAAGTGTCATATCTCTGTAAACAAATAGCATTCAGTTACGCGTCTAGCTTCGTCTTTTGGTACCCTTGTTGTTTTGCGTATTAACCAAGCATTACGTTGGAATGTTAAGTTGGGTCACGTGGCTCATACAATAGAGATTGTGCCAAAGCAGCTTTAAGCAAATAATCATAGAAGTCGGGTTTGAATTTACAACTAGAGTCTGTTTGGTGATAATTCAGTATGTAATGCACATAAACTGTGTGTGTGTCACCTGATAATTTTAGCCAACTTAAATTTGTAAAGTGTCTTTAGGTTTGTTGCTGCTGCAGAAAAGATGATGTGATGTAAAAAAAAAAAAAAAGAAAAAAAAAACAGCCACTAAAACTGAAAATGCTGCCTTGAAAAATATAACATTTAAACTGTTAATTAAACGATAATATAATAAAATTCTAAAAAGTATTAACATTATATACTACTTATATTGGTTTGTGTTATTTTTGTCATTTAATAATTTGATTATATTGTTTATTTTCTTAGGATAAGATAGAAGAAAAATATATTTACTACAATAAAATTAGAGGTGTGAACCTATACTGGTCTCACGGTTCGGTTACGATTATCATGCCTTCGGTTCAATTCGATATTTCGGTGCATCACGGTGTATTGACAATGCTTTCCATATACAGTGTTATATTTTAGAGGAGAGGCTATAACAAGCTGTCTGTAAACACACAGAGACACAGCACCACACTGTCTCTCATTCAAACACAAACATAGACAGCACCAAAGAAACTAACACACACGCACACACACTTAAGCCCTCGCAACAGGGAGAGCTCGCGAAGAGCGGAGCAGAAAAACGAAAAAAAAAAAACAAATAAAATAAGCACTTTTCCGACGGTCCCTTGCTGTGAGCTCCTCTCAGCGCGAGCTATCCTGGCTAAACACATATTGCGAGGGCTTAAACGGAGCAGTGCCCATAGTGTGGAGCAAAAAAGAAAGAAAGACGGCTGTGAAACATAACCAGCTTTGTCTTCTTGTAGAAAACACACTTTAGATCTTTTTAGGGTAAAAGGTTTTTGAGTTATTGCCGTCTGTAACTGAATGTGTGTCAAGAATATCGAAAACAAAACCAACTGAACCGCGCTCCTTTCTGGTGCCCTCCTGGATATACAGCGCCCTTAGCATTTCCCTATGGTGCCTATGCCACGGACCGGCCCTGAGTTGGCTGAGTGTTGTAAATACTCGCGCTCACCTCCCTCGCGACAGAGTGCATAGGAGATAAATGACGTCAGTACATAATAACCGGTTATGATAATTACTGAACCGATACTGAATTGTCCGCGTCTGCATCGCGGTGCACCAAAAAAACAATTAATTTTGACACCCCTAAATAAAATGTACATTTTTTTTACTATTTGGAAAAAAGTTTGATTGATCGAAATCCATATTATTGTCATTCATGTATATATTTAGTTATTAGTATAAATGTATTATAATAAATTCATTCACAATTCATTAATATGGTAGTGATTCTCAAGTTTTGATTTAAATGCAAATTATTATTATTAAAACCAATAATAACCAAAAAAAACTTTTTTTTTTTGTCTGTTTTGCTTTACTATTATACAAGATGTCAAATAAAAACAGAGCATAACAATTTAATTTGTATATGACATTGTCTATCTCATTTTCTTTTTTGTGATACAATTCTGTCTTTCTGATTTTCCTTGTTTAGATGATGAGAGTTGGAGTGAAGAAGAGCAGGATCCAGTTGTTTTGGATCAGACCTGGAGAGGAGACCCTGACAGTGAAGCTGAAAGTCTCGACAGTGACCACGAAGACCCTTTGAAGTGAGGAACTTTACAGTTTTTCAGTTTCGATAAATAAATGTCAACTGAATCATCAATTTATTTAGTGTGGTTTGATTCTATAGGCATGCAGGGGTTTACACAGCAGAGGAAGTGGCACTCATCACACGTGAAAAGCTTATCAGACTTCAGTCCCTCTACATAGACCAATTTAAACGTTTGCAACACTTACTAAAAGAAAAGAAACGCCGTTACCTGCACAGCCGCAAGATTGAACATGAGACTATTGGTGAGACTGCTGTTGTTTGTTTATATATTTATTTATTTATTTATGTTCTTAGCCTTCTACATATACATGCATGTATAAACACTCAAACACACTCAGGTCTGTTTTTGTGATTCAGGGAGCAGCCTGTTAACTGGTCCAGAAGGGCTATCTATGAAGGAAAGGGAGAACTTAAAGAAGTTAAAGGCTTTGCGGCGTTATCGGCGTCGTTATGGTGTGGAGGCTTTGCTGCACCGTCAGCTCAGAGAACGAAGACAAGCGATCACTGAAGGAGGACCGACACAGGTATGGATGGACTTTAAACCATAATGCATCAATCTGATGTCAAAAATTAGCAGGGACTAAAACAAATGTTGTGTCTTTGTTTTGCCTCTATTTGGGCCAAAAAGGTTTTCTTGAACACAACAGTAGCACTGCAGGTGATGATCACAGGTGCATCCTGTGTGAAAGGAAAAAAAAAAAAACTTTCTTTGTCTGTATCAACGGATATCAATGAATAAAAAAAAAGTGAAAGCAAAACAATGACTGCATATATAAAAAAGTAAACAAAGCAGTGTTCGTTTACCATTTTGAACATAGTCATCAGTTTTTTTCATTTCATGTGCTCATGCTATGATACTGATATATTGGAATGCATGGGGGGATAATGTAACATTAAAAGGGCCTTTTATCATTGGCATCTTATGTTTTGCTTGCATTACGTTTTATTGTTTTGTTCTAAAAAGCCATTCAGAGCGATCTGTGTCACCAATGGCCTTGAGGCTTATTCAACACGCCCAATGTTCAGCAACCTGAGCCTAACTAAAGCAGATTTGTAGACCACAGTGCAAAAACTAACTCAACAGATGGTCACTGACAGCTTAATGTGTCATGGCCATTGTGAATTTGAATTTTTAAAATAACCAATTTAAAGCTCCGCAATCTCATTTGAAAGACAACTGAATTCAATTGAATCGTCCTCACTTTTTATTGTTATTTTTAATGTCTTTAATGTCGTCATTTTTTTTTCTTCACAGGCAATGCGTTTAGGCCAGAGGTGCATTTCCTTTGTGGAAGGGACACGCTGTTCAAATCAGTGTCTGCCAATGACAAGACATTGTGTCTCTCGTATCCTTTATGTCTTGTGTTTCTCTGACTCTTATGTTCAGTTTTTTTTCTGTTAAGTAGTAAAGTCTTTTCTGTTTAATTTTTGGGGTTGGTAACATTTCTTTGATGTTTAAGAAAAATCAAATGATAGCAAGGCTGTATTTATTTGCTTGAGAATAACAGCAATATATTTATCATGTAAATATGTATGCATCATTTTATAATATATTATGAAATGATGCATGCAAGTTTACATAATATTTTTTTCTAATATAATACACTTTAAAATATAATTTATTTCATAGACTGCATTTCTTATCCTAAAGTCTTACTGACCTCATACTTTTGAACGGAAATATGCATATTTATTTTGTTCATATTTAAATATAAAAATATTTATTGATTGTATTGATTTAATCATTCATTGATTTGGGCATAAATCTAGATACAGGGGTGCACCACTTTTTTTTTTTTTTTTTTTTTTTTTTAAGTTTAGTTTTCAAATGATTACCTGGAGATTTTAGTTGGTCCTCACACTGTTCTTGGCTCAGCCTTCATGTCTCATTCATATGTAAACGGCCATTTTAGAATTTCGAAATATACGTTGCATATATGTACATATTTGACATGTATATTTTTATATTTGAAATCTTAACATGACTTTGTATTTTAAATTAATGTAATTTGTAAAAAGTGTTGTATCTTAGATTTATATATATCAGCTGATCACACGGCCCTATATATATATATATATATATATATATATATATATATAGGGCCGTGTGATCAGCTGATGCTTTTACATTAGTCTCAATTACCTAATTACAGCAGAGTTCATTTGATTCCCTCCCTACCTGCCTCTCATATTTTTACTCAGAAAAGTAGTTTATCAGCATGCTAAGACTGAGCAGCACACGTGTCTGTTCATAATGAGTTCAAATGAACTGGAATTTTTTCCACTTTTTTAGTTGTGCAGTAATTAGATAAACAGCACATCAGTTATTTGTGTCAGTAAGCAATTAAACTCACAAATACTAACCAATTTGACCATTTTGTACGTAATTAATAGCTTCTCACTTCCATGGTTTGGTGTGATATTAACTGTCCCAGAGATCTGTGAACTTTTCACCAGACCACCCTTTTCAGGCGGTCCTGCGCACACCAAGACCAGCTTATTTTACATTTTCGCCAAACCACAAGCATTGCAAATTTGCAAGATCCTGTGTTCTACACTATTTGAATTGCATCCAAGTGAATTAAATCTTGCATGCAAAAGTGCTTTTCTAGTACCATATCAGATCTGCATTTTTTATTTTAATCGCCAATGTGCACCTGTGCACCAGTTAGGTAGTATTTTGTAGCCCTGAATCAAGGCCCGCAGCTTGCTGTAGCTGTTGGTTTCAAACAGCGGCTGACACAAAACACTTCTTAAGGTCTGTTGACTTTCCCAAAATGATCTGATGGGTTAAGTCGATTTCATTTTGAAGGAACATTTTAAGTTCTCCACCTCTTCCCACCTTCCATATCTTTGACATTAAGACACTTTTTTCCCCCAGTGCTAGTTCTCCAAATCTCCTTAACACCCCACCACAGACATTTACCAAGACAGCAGCCAAGTTTTATTCAAGCTGTGCCCTGGTCTTAAGGACGTCCCATGCGATCGTCCTGTCCACATGGGACAGTCGGAGGAGCCCCGCTGTCCTCTACACCTGTCCCTGCCTCCACCCATGTACCAGCCCGAGCAGGAGTCTCTCGCCCCGGAGCAGCTGGCGTCTGCGCCCACAGACATGTACCTCAGTGCCGCCGAGCTCCAGCCAACAGAAAATCTACCTCTGGAATTCAGTGATGTATGATTTGTGTTGCTTTTTCTCATTAAAACAAGTCAATGTGTGCAGTCACTCTCCTCATGTGTTTTGGCACATCCCTTCATAAGTTGGGTATCATCAGAATAATTAAATCGGCATCTGCACTAAATTTGTTCTCCAGAACACCTTGCTTCGCTGAGGTATCCATCATGTATCTACATGCCTGCAAACAGTGCTGCTCAAACACGTCCCCCGCTGTGTAAATCATATCCCATACCCTCACATGAATGAACAACAAATTAATCTGAATGTTCAACTGTCATCTTCCTTTAATTTTGTGTCTGACATTTTGTGTGTGCCCACAGTAAAAACCTCTCATTTAATCTCATTTTTGGAAACGTTTAATTTGCCTGTTATGCTGCATTGCATAATTTATTTATGTACTTTCCCATTATTTTCCCCGATGCCTGTTTGCAAAACCAATTTTGATGTTTTACTGATTAATTGGGCTGGTTGTTAGACCAGTGTACTTAGTCAGTGAGTACGTATACATTTACGCTAATAATCAGATTTTAATATGATTAAGACAATACTCTGATTAAAAGTCTAACATGGAAAAAAGCAATTTTTGATCAACCTGATTAAGGTCATAATTGAGCTAAAGAAAAATCAGATTAAGACATGTTAAGTATGCCAATTTAAGTCGCATTATTGAAGTACAGTACAGACATGTAAAGACCTTAAACTTATCATGTAGGACTTTTCGTTAATCAAATTATGTGCTATAACATGTAAAACCAGATCATGAAAGGAACATGCAAAAAGCAACTTGTGTAAACACCTTAATCATATTATTGTCTCATTCAGATTAGGGTACTGTTAGAATACAATTTAGTAGCCTTTTTGAAAATATAAGCTGTTGCAAAAACTATATATTATAGCTAATATAATAAATGAATAAAAAAGTGCACAATATATGGATATTAAGATCATTTTAGTCATCAATCTATATTGTTATTTTTAATCAGTTCATAGAAACATTTTACACATGGTTCACCTTTTTGGAGTCTTTATAATAAGAATTTATTAATACTGTAAATATAATATTTAGCAATTTCTTAATACCATACATTATACGTTAATCTTAGCATTAATGCTATTTGATTCTATTTTTTATTAATAAAATATTTAATTTGAAGCATTTTTTTATAAAATTGTTATTATTAATTATAGATTGCAGCATTTGTGATGTCAAAATTTGCAAGTCTAATTCAAGTTTTGTTATGTAGCTTGAAAGATAAACACACCCCAAACCTTCTTATCTAATTTCTTATAAGAAGCATGTTTAATAAAACATGGTTTTCATACACTGTAAAACCCAAAATGTTAAGATAACTCAAACCATTTGAGGAAACCAATCGCAACAAACCATTTAACTTTAAAAACTATTCCTAATAAGTTCCATGAACTTACTCCATTTGAGTAAACCTAGTAAATGAAGAGAACTCAAACCAACTGAGTACTGTAAAACCCAATAAACGAAGGCAACTTAAACCATTTGAGGAAACCGATTGCAACAAACCACAAGTTCAAAAACTAATCCTAATGAGTACTGTAAACTTACTCCATTTAAGTTAAAGCAATGAGGTATTTAACTCATTACCTTCAACACTGAGTTCAAAACTCTTTTCAAATGAGTAGAACTAACATTGTCAGTTTTGAGTTAACTACACTCATTTGATAAAGTTGACTGTTGGGTTTTACAGTGTATTTGTATGTACGTTGTTGAACAAAATATTGAACAAAAAGAAGTGGTGTAAACCACAAGTCATATTTTACATTAGAATTTTTTAATAATCAGAAATGTAAATCAAATTAGTCTTCCTGATGTTGACGTCACCATTGCAGCACTCTGTAACCAGTAGTAATGGCCAAACGTCGTTTAAAATCACAACATAAAACAATGAACAGAATCAAAATGTAGTATTAATCATGAGTGGTTAATTATTTAAATTTCTTGGCGTGCAGGATCTTGATGTTGAAGATGAGGGTTTGCAGTGTCCGCCGTCCCCCTTGCTCTTTGACACAGCACTCGCATTAGAAGACCAAACCATCAGAGAGATCGCCGAAGCCCCCATGGACATCCTGACCGGGGCTGAGCAGGGCGATCTGGACGCCTCTGCCCAAGACGCTGAACTCTCAGAGAGAGATGAGGTGTCTGTTGAAGACTCGGTAATCATTATTGTTGCTTGTTAAAATGAGAAATTCTGTTTTCTATTTCTTGGGCATTTAAGCCCTTTAACTCATGTCTTGTTTTACAGGTTGACACTGAAATACTTGAAGCAGTTGAACAAGCAATCCCCATGCAGAATTCATCAAAAGACTCTGACACCAAAACAACAGATGCCTTATCCTGAGCACCTTATGACCTGATTTTCTCAGCTGCTGTGCTGTTTATAATTCCAAACAGTTCATATATCTATTTAAAAGCCATAATTCTGGATTTCTTGTGAAATATTTTAGCCTAACATTCTCATTACTTAAAATAACACATAATCTGATTTAGATTATGCTTCGTGAAACTAAAAGGACAGCAGTTACAATATACAGTATGTGACGCATGTGTTTCACTACAGAAAGTCTACCGTTTTCACTTTTTATCCTGTACATTTCTGGTTCCATATCATATTCACGACTCATACTGGGATTTGTTCACTAAAATAAACCTTTACATCTCATCTCGCTCTTGTTAATTATAATTTTGCACTCATGAAAGCAGCTCCTCTGGGATAGTCTGGGTTCCCACGGTCTTGGAAAACCTAGAAACATCAGGGTAATTTTCAGCCTCGGAGATTTCTATAGTGCATAAACCTGATTCAGTAATGTGTGAGTTGCTTGCGAACGTGAGCTATTTGATTTGTGAGTGAAATGTTCTGGGTCAGATAATTTTCATAATTCATATTGAAATGTTTTATTATGAAGCGGTCTTACTGGATTTTTATAAATATTGATAAAGTAAAGAAATGACTGGAGAGGTCATGCAAACTAGTCAAGAAGAACAAGAACCCTATAGAGAAACAATAGTGTTTAGAATGTTTAGTTGTTGATAAAATATTTTAATCACCAAATATCTTTAGAAATGGAAAGATAATACATTTAAAATAACACAAAGTATTGCCAAAATAAATTGCAACGTACAAAAGTTCATCTAACATTTTTCTTTTTTTTTCTTAATTTTTGCTAATTTTGAAATTTTTATTTAATATTTTTCCTTAACATGAATTTGGGCTACTAATTTTTTTTTACCATTATTGTAAGTTATTTTGTTAGATGAGCTCCAGTTTAGCTTGATTGTTGACTAAACTAATGTATATGCACAAATATAATACTGTAAAGCATCTTATAGAAAATTAAATAATTTAATTGAGAGATTTGTGAGAGTGTACTCGTATATGCTGAGCACTGTATATGCTAGCTGGTAAATAAATACAAAAGATTAGTACAAAAACAGTGAACACTTTGAAGGTCAGAAACGACTGCATTTGGGAACATAAATACATCTAGCAGAAACTTTGTTTAATTTTTGATTGTATATTTGAAGCAGAACATGTTTCGGAAAGGTTTACAGGCAATAATCTGTCACGTGTCTTTAAACGTCCAATATTATTTCTGTTCTGTAAAGCAACTAGTTTTTAAGAAATTTAAGTGACTAGTTTATTAACTAATATACCAATAATTAAGTACAATTTAAGACTTAAAAAGTACACTGGTAATAAATTAATTGTAAATATTGCATTAATATAATTTATTATTAGGGCCAGCATGGTGGCTCAGTGGTTAGCACTGTTGCCTCACTGCAAGAAGGTCGCTGGTTCAAGCCCTGACTGAGTCAGTTGACAATTCTGTGTGGAGTTTGCATATTCTCCCTGTGTTGGCATGGGTTTTCTCTGGGTGCTCAAGTTTCCCCCACAAGTCCAAAGACATGCGCTAGATATATTGAAAGAACTGAATTGGCCTTAGTATATGTGTGTAAAGGTGAGGGTGTTTTACAGTACTATGTTGCAGATGGAAGGGCATCTGCTGTGTAAAACATGTGCTGGATAAGTTGGCAGTTCATTCCGCTGTGGCGACCCCTGATTAATAAAGGGACTAAGCCAAAAAGAAAATGAATGAATGATTAAGGAAATTGGCACCAGTATATGTGTGTGAATCTGAAGATGTGGGTGTTTTCCAGTATTGGGTTGCAGCTGGAAGGACACTCACTGCATAAAACATATGCTGGATAAGTTAGTGGTTCAGTTCGTTTTGGCGACCCCAGATTAATGAAGGTACTAAGCCAAAAATAAAATAAATGAAATTGGCCCTAGTGTATGTGTGTTTCCAGGGATGCAGCTGAAAGGGCGTCCGCTGTGTAAAACATAAGCTGGATAAATTGGCGATTCATTCCGCTGTGGTGACCCCTGATAAATAAAGGTTCTAAGCCAAAGGAAAATGAATGATTAATTATTAATGTAAAAATACAAAGTTAGACAAACATTTTAAAAATAAAACATAAATGAAAAATAAATAAATAAAATGAGACTGTGATTTTAACAGCGCAAGGGTTGAACTAATAAATGAAATATTATTAAACAATGAAACTTACAGTTGGTAGCAAGACATGCTAAATGTTGTCACAAGACCATTGATTTACTGCTTAATCCTGACAGACCTAAATAAAGCCGAGCCGCTGTTTGTTTAGTCACGAGTCATGATTAAATCACTGCAGATGCGTAGCAAAATCAAATAAAACGCGTTAATAAATTAAACAAAAACTCCATCTAAATAAAATAAACATACAAGTCAAAGATATAAATGAAAACATGCGTCTGAAAACGCTACGTGGAGCACAACACAGGCCCTTTTACTAAAAGTGGGGCGGGCATCACAATTTCAAGCCCATGACATCACTTTTCCTGCGAGTGCTTTAACCTAAACACGGGAAGAGAGCGACGGATGGGAAGAGACGACGATAAAACCTCTAATCAGCGGCTGGGAAGACAGATAAACATGTCCACAAGCTGTGAATTCAATAGTACAGTGCAAGGTA